GGGTGTCACAATAAAGAAATCATTGCATGGCTGATTAGCGGGTGCTCTGGTGTGGATTTCTACGTCTTTCCTATCAAACATCTATCGCCCCTACCTCTTCTCCTAGTTTTCTGTTTGTTTGTCAGTCTCTGGTAACATTTCTAATCTTTGGCATTTATATGATCCAATTGTGCTACAAGTGCCGTACGTAAAACACATACTAAAAACAAAAGAAAAAAAAGAGCAAATATTAATCCATCTTCAACTCTATACACAAAAAAGTATTGATCGTCTGGAGGATACTTTCCTCTTTGGTCCGATTGGACTCCTGCCCATGAGAAATCCAGTAAAAAAAAACAACAACAGACCACACACACACACACACACACACACACACACACACACACACACACACACACACACACACACACACACACACACACACACACCCGTCTATAGCTGAATATAATATATAATAGTATACTCGCAATTGGGTGAAAGAATAAACAAATTATGTAAAGTCCTTACAACGTCCGCCCCTGACGGGCTTCAAACCTGCGCGTGGCCTATTATTTGCGAGCCCAATACGGACTAACCACTTGACCACTGACGCCACATCTACACCTACAGCTCGTCTTGCTTAAAAAAATTGACCTCGTTAAGAGTTGACTACCCGCACTAATTTCTTTGTTTTAGTATAGGTTTTAGGTTGCTCGCAACAGCATAATAAGGTCACAAGAGCGACAGAAGATTAGAGGTGTTACAAGAGAGTAATTGTTGCACTGGGGTTGGCTGCCGTAGTTGTACATGTAATTAAGAAGGCAAAAGTAAAAACTCTGTTTCTTGATGAAGAAGGTTGATTTCTTTTAACATATAATAAGAAAATGACATGAGGTCTGTCCTCTCTGGCTTCACTGACAAGACTGAATCTTAATGAGCATGAGCACATGTGGTTAAAACAGGAAGGAGGAGTGAGTAAAGATCACAAAGATCAGACAATCTTTGTTGTGAGGGCAGATAAAATAAAAGTACAATTTACAGGGACATAATTCAAATTAATCATGTTAATATAGGGACCAACAATCCAGGATTTACTGTTGCCCTTCTATATATTGATAATAAACAATCTAATAGTCTAACAGTAATAAACATAAAAAGAAGGAGGGGGGGATAAGTACGATAGATGTTTGATAGGAAAGACCACACCAGAGCACCCGCCAACCACCCACCACTAATTTCTATAAAACTTTTACTGTAACACTGTATCAATGTGACTTAATTAACGGTATGTAAATTATGGTTCAAGCCCGGGAATTTGTAAGCACTGTTTTAATTCTGCTTGTCTACGTTGAATAATAATTCATTGAGTAAAAATAAAGGTAAATATTCTGTTCAAGATGGATGGGTATTTTTTTCATCAAATTCCACTGCGTTGTTACACTTTTTTTTCTTCATTTAGGCGTTTTGCAAACCCATCCACATAATTTAGATTATTTTAGAGACTGTGTACTGACCTGGGTTGAGAGGGATACAACATCCCAGACAAAGACAGAGATACCCGATAATTATTCGCCCCACTCAGGAATCAACTTCAGGTCTCCAGCATGCTACAAAAAAGAGCCTACTACACCACAGGCACCAGTAACATAAAGCAAAGAAATAGAGTAGAACTGAAGTTTATCATACCACCCATGACAAAAGAATATCAATTGAAAATCATAGTTAAGAGAAAAGAAAGAGATAAACAGTACAGTAAAATTTGTTGAAACAGTACATATCGTGATATAATACAATTAGGTGAGGTCAAAAACAAAAAATGAGAAAAGTGAAAAGCAAAACAGAAGGAAAGAAAAAAAGAAAAATGAAAGGAAAAAAGATTTGACAGCAAGAAAGAAGACTAAAAAAAGAAAAATCTACAAATATATTTTATATATATATATACATATATATATATATATATACACATCCCTGTCTGTACGCCATGGGGTCATTTTGTACCCCCGGGGTTGTATTCTTCACATTTTAGAATACTTCTAGTACGAAGATCTCTTTGAAACTTTCAGCATTTCTCAAAAAATCATTTAGACAGACTGCTATGCAAAGCTTACCGATCGGATTAACAAGTAGGAAATATTATATAATATGTATATATATATATAATAATAATAAATAGCTTTTGTATAGCGCATATCCGCGCTCAACAGCAAGCTCTATGCGCTTTACACTATATTGTTACCCCAGCAGACCATAGAACACTCCGAAACATTCTCAGCTTCCCGGGAAGCATACATACAGCATATATATATATATATATATATATATATATATATATATATATATATATATATATATATATATATATATATATATATATATATGTATATGTATATATATAAATCCACAAAAAAAAATTTTCCCCTATAGCTCCTGTTGCGTTTAGGCTACGTTTATAGCTTGACAAATAATTACAATTAATTAACTTTACTTGAGTTGAACTCACTTGAGTTGATCTTTGATCAAGTTTATCTTTTTCTCAGGTCACAGCATCTCTTCTTCTTTACAGTACAGATCACATCCATTAAGTTGAATTTGGGATAAGTTTATCTTTTTTAAAGTCCCCCCCCCCCCATGACATTAACTCATTCGTAGTCAGTCCATTGTATGTAAATCCACAAACAAAAAATCCATCATTTTCTCCAACAGACCTTGTTGAGTTCCGGCTATGCTAATAACTTGACGAATAATTATGAAACATGCACAGTAAAGAACCACAACATTTTTGTGACAATGGGTAGTATCTGAAGTGTTTATTTATAGACATGTAGGTCACGTAGGTGTGTTACAACATAGTTGGCCAATTCAAGACAAGCTATTGATGTACACTCATGACAAAAAAACCTCCAAAACCCACACAAGAATCAACCATATCAGCCAGTCTTCAATCATTCTTCGTCTCTGATGCAGCATAAATAAAATGTGTGACGACGTGGTGAAATCATGTGCTCATCAATTTTTGGGTATGTGGAGTTATTGGTATCATCTACAAGCTTGTTCATTTGTCTTGCTTTTGATTTAAAAATCTACTCATCTAACTGGAATAGAAATCAGGATATTTGAAATTGAAAGAGGAGGGGGTTGCCTGATTTTAAAGGTAAAATTAGTGAGAAAATGGCCGCCAAAGTCTAGTTGCTTCAATAGCTGACAGTCTTAAAACTGAAAATTTACACATTTTGTGCCTTTAACCAACATTTTTCAGTACAATTCAAAAGAAATTGGTTTTTGTAAGTGTTTTACGGCGCTCGCAACTGCATAAAGTCATATGAGCGCGCTCAAAAGAAAATGTGTTGTCAATACGGACACAGGAAAATGCCTGTTCCTCAGATTTCATTATTTTGACAAGCGTCTGATTTCATCACAATGCCTCAAAAATTTTGACAACATTCACTGCCAACATCATCTCGGCAGCTCGACAGCCGTGACCTGAGCGTAGTAACCGTTATCTCCGGTGGAGTAGCGCTGAGACAGATGGAGACTGTCTATGTGGAGGGGGCCAAAGTCAAAGTCAGGGAATTTCTGAAGACAGAAAGTTTGCAAATCAAATCAGTACACATTTTATTATGTAGAGTTTAAATAAAACCAACATATCATAGAACCAATGCAAGCTATATCTAGAGTCGTTAATTAAATCAAAACAGTACAATTGTTTCACCATGCAGTGGAATTTATCTAGACAAAACTATGTAAATCAAATCAGTATTTGCGTCACGATGTAGTGGAATCAGGTGCTCGTCAATTTTGGGGCATATGGGGTTATTGGTATCATCTTAAAGCCTGTTCATTTGTCCTCCTTTTGAGGGAAAAAATAACCAACTATCTTGAATAGAAGATGAAATATTTGCGATTGGTTTCAGAGGTAATATTAGCGAGAAAATGGCTGCCAAAGTTTGGTAACTTCCATAGCATTTTTTTGCCTTCAATCAACATTTTTCAGTAAAATCCACATAAAAATGTGTTTCTAAACATATTATAAGGTGAGTCAAAAAAAGAAAATATGAAAAAAACTTGCTCATCGGCCCCAAAAATACTGATTTTTTAAATTTATTATTTAGACGAGCGCCTGATTTCACCACAATGCCTCACATTTATCTTATGCAGAGTTTTTAAAAAAAACGTACCATAGAACCAATATCTCCTGTACCCAGAGTCATTAAATCAAAACAATACAGTTGTTTCATGATGCAGTGGAATCAGGAATTGTCAACTTTTGGGCATATGGAGCTATTGGTTTCATCTTTAGGCTAGTTCGTTTGCCTTGCTTTTGATGAAAAAAATTCCAATACATCTTAAATAGAAGTCCAAATATTTGTCATTGAAGAAGGTGGGAGTTGCCTGTGTTAAAGGAAAGGTACAAAGAGAATGGAAGCCATAATTTGGTGATTTCCAAAGCTTGAGTTTCCTTGAAAAGTGGAAATTTTTAAAAATTGGGGGTCTTCAATCAATGTTTTTCAGTTAAATCCACATAGAAATGTGATTATTAGATGATTTAAAAGGTGTTGAGACAACAACAACAAAATTTCAAAGAAAATTTCCAAGGGGTGGGAATAGGTCGGTTTCTTCGATTTCACCACTTTGACTAGCACATGATTTTACTACGATGACACACAATTGCAAACATTCAGGAATTAAAGTTTTGAAAAAATAGTAATTGCAGAAGTAGTTGTTTTACATTTTACATCCACATCCACACAAATAAAATTATTTCTAGGAGGTGGACTTTTTCGTTTATGCCTGCCAGTGCCATCCCAGATAGAGAGGGGTACAGCATCTCAGCACCAGAGTTTTAGTTGACAAAACATCTCTCAATACAGGAATGGAACTCAAATCTTCCATGAGCAACAGCAAAGCAAGAATAAAAAAGACGCAAACACATTTATAAAGATGAACGGATGCCTGACTCACTACTACGCAACTCCCCTTGCCCTCTTTACCACCCACTATCCACCTCACCAAACACACACACATACACACACACACACATATAAACCTGACTCCCAAACACCCCTCACACACACACACACACACACACACTAGGCTCCCAAACAAACACGCACATACACATACCACCCCCCCTCCCCCACATGCATATGCGCACACATTATACCCCTCCCCCCCCCAATTTCCTCCCTCCAAAAAGGTATGACAAGGAAACCCGCCCACAACCCCACCCACCACCAATCACATCAATCAGTCTTGCTGCCTGCTGCCCGACTTCTCTCACCTTCAGTATCTGGGAAGCGTCAAAAGACTCCCTCTCCCGTGGGCGGGCGTGTCCGTTCGAGTCTGCCTGTGGCACAGACGTGCCCGAGGGATCTTTCCGCATGAGCGTGTTCATGACGGTGACGTGCAGCTTGACCCGCTCGTGGTCCCGCTGCATGATGCCAGCGCTGGTCAGTCGGTCCACCAAGCGGTCAACCAGTGACTGGAGCCTGGGTTCAGAAAGGGACAAGATTGAAAGCATGGGTTTGTACCCAATGGGTGATAAAGACGTAGATCAGGCACAGTTATGAGCGTGACATGAATCAGCTCATTTACAATTCTACTATGCTTGAACGAGAAATGTTCCCCCTTTGGGAAACGCCTAAAGACACTACATTCAGTGCCACTGCCGCGGGGGGTGTAAGTTAGTCCAATGAGGCGAGCTGTGAGGTGATATGAGATGAGATGAGGTGAGGTAAAGTAAGGTAAAGTAAGAGAAGGTAAGGTAAGGTGAGGTGAGGTGAGGTGAGGTGAGGTGAGGTGAGGTGAGGTGAGGTGAGGTGAGGTAAGGTAAGGTAAGGTAAGGCAAGACTGTGCAATGTGTAGTGATAGAGACATAAAATAAGAAAAGATAAGATCAAGATGAAATATGTACAATTCACTCAGAAATTTGTTTTTAAACGACCATAGAGGGTGCTTTAACCAATTTCTAAAAATAAATTAATAATAACCTAAAGGGAAAAAAGTCGAATTCTTGTATTTCATTACTGGTACTGCGTCGTTACATATATATATACAGGGTGTACACACTGGCTACCACATCTAACAATGCCAGACAAAAGCATTGAGTAAACTCGCCAGGAATCTCCCGCTCTGATCAGGAGCCTTTAGAAATGAAGTCTCACCTTGACAAGACTCTATGGGCCAAGATTTTGTTCTACATAGTTATTGCAAAATGTTTCTCTTCCTTTTGATACCGAAAAAAAATTGGGGGGGCCAGAGGTTTTAGAAGTTTTGAGCCAATCCAAGGGTGATCATGTTTCCGACAATTCAAATGTGTCTCCACTACTTGCTGAAAAGAAACACAATTGAGCTTGAAAAAGGAAAAAACAGTGAGCAAGCAAAGGACAAATCAGAAGAAGCAGATATTGATGAAAATGTTGAAGTAGGAGTTTGTGGCAATTCAGATTAATCAGATGTAGAATTTAGATCTTGGGCCCGACTGCAAGGCTGAAAGTGAGAGTGACGGGTTGGACACGGTCGGATCCCCAATTGAAGTTAGAACATTTCCAAGAGAATCTGTGAATGTAAAGTTATATTTTTCTGAAACTACTTTCAGTTGTCTTTCAAATTGTTCGTTTTTCAGAATTTTTGAATTTTTAAAGTATTTTTAAAATGTGTTTTTCAGATGATTGTATTCACGGGAGGTGGGTTTCTTCCCCTTACGTAGGATTTGGGAATAGACTTCCCATCAAGACCCCTAGGGTGTAATGTGTTACCTAAAATGTGATAAAAAAAATTTCTTGAAAAATTTAACAAAATCAAAAGCAAACCTACCTGTCACAAGCACACCCTTCTTGCACACGTGCGTACAACACGTCCACGGACCCAGGGTCATCGTTCATGTACTCTAGGCCTCTGATCTGTACCTCGAGTCTCTCACCTTGCAACAGGGGCCTGAAACAGAGGCATATAGCCCAATCGGCAGGATGGGGAAAACTTTTCGCCGATCATGAATTTTGCTATGTGTATTTAAAATACAGTAACAAAGAACATACAAGATTAAGAAAAAATTCAGGACTTGAAAGTCTTTGCAATTCATGTGTACATTTCTCTGTGCATATTCTCTGGGTGGGTATTTGTTATGTGCATGTCTCGCTATCACATGTTTCGCTGCTTGTGTCTCCATGTGTGTGTTTGCTATATGTGTTTCCCTATCTCCACGTTTCTAAGTGAGGCATCATGGTGAAATCAGCCGCTCGTCGAATAACTGAAATCGAAGAAACCGGCTTTTTCCAGCGGGTTTGGAAATTTTTCACAAATTTTTGTTTTTTGGCTCAAGATCTTTTACATCCGTTTAAAAACACATTTCGGTGCGGATTTTACTGGAAAAACGCTGTTAAGAGGCTAAATGCAGATTTTCAGCTTTCAATGACTCTCAAGCATTGGAAGTGACCAAACTTCGACGGCCATTTTCTAACTAATTTTATCACTGAAATCAGGCAACCCTCACCTCCTGCAGTCACAAATATTTCGACTTGTATTCAAGATAGATTGGTATTTTTTCCCTCTCAAAGGAAGAAAATAGAACAAACTTTAAGAATGTGTCACAACGGTGAAATTAGACGCTTATCAATTTTGGGGCATATTGGGTTATTGGTATCATCTTAAAGCCTGTTTATTTGCCTTCCTTTAGGTGAAAAAAGTGTAGATCTATGTTGAATAGAAGTCGAAATACTTGCGATTGAAGGAGGTCAGGGTCGTTTGGCTTCAGAGGTAAAAAGCTAAGATCGAGTCCTTCAAAACTGAAAATTTACATTTTTATGCCTTTCATCAATTTTTTCAGTAAAATCCACACAGAGATGTGCTTTTAGAAGGACATAAAAGGTGTTGAGCCAAAAAAAGAAAGTAAGAAAAAAATTGTAGAGAAACTTACACTTTTCCGCTGGTTTGGCAACACACAAAAAATTTGTTTCTTTCTTTTAATAACACATTACACCCTAACTTACCCGGAATCGCCTGCTCCGATCAGGCGTCTTTCGCTTTACATAGTTATTGTAAAATGTTTCTTCTTCCGTTTGATACCGAAAAGAAACTTTTCTGAACAGTAGTTTTATTTTTAAAGCTGATCAAAGTGTGATCGCGTTTCCGACACCTCGCACGTGTCTCGACTTGTTGAAAAGAAACACGATTGAGTTTTCAAAAATGAAATAACGAGGGATAAGAACAAGCAAAAGAGAAATCAGATGAATAAAATATTGAAGAAAACATCGCAGCAAGAGTTTGGGGTAGTTCAAATTAATCAGCAGTAGAATTTATATCTAGGGCCCGACTGCGAGGCTGAGAGTGAAAGTGACACGTTGGACACCCCCATTGAGCTAAAGTTAGAACATGTCCAACAATTTATGCATTGAAAGTTTTTTTGTTTTTTTTTACTCTATTAATTTCTCTTTTTAATTGTAATTTTTTTTCGGATTTTTTGGAATTTGTTTAGTATCTTTTAAATGCGTTTTTTAAATGCTTGTATTCACAGGTAGTGGGTTCCTTCCCCTTGCTTAGGATTTGGGAATAGACCTTCCGTCCAGACCCTTAGCGTGTAATGTGTTAAGAACTATACCCACTTTAAGTATCTATATTCTTTTTTTTTTTTTTTTTAAAGCCCATAACATAAATACCCATTTATCTTGAAAAGAAATTGAAATACTTCCAAGTGAAAGGGGTGGGGTTAGCCAGGTTTCAAAAGTATGATTAGCGAGAAAAAGGACACCAAAGTTTGTTGACTTCCAAAACTCGAGTGTCCATAGAAACTGCAAATTTACTCTTTCTGTTCTTCTGAAGAATGCTTTTCAGTAAAAATCCATGCAGGAAAGTGTTTTTAAGAGGACATTTTTTAAAAAAAGGTGTTGAGTAAAAAAAAACCAGAAAAAATTGATAAAAATGCCCAAGAGGTGAAAAAAAAAAGGAATTCCTTCAGTTCCATTATTTTGACGAGCGCCTGATTTCACAACGATACCAGGGACAAACACGTACTGTATCAGCTCCTCCTGACAGGATTGTAAATGCACAGCTGCCCTCTCAATCTCATTGTCATTCAACAACACCATGGTCCCTATGGTAAGGTGAAGCTTCTTGGGGTTCTGGAACAAACTCGCATCAAGACCACGGTCCTGTGGACATTGGACTTAATAATAATAATGATAACAATAATGGTAATAATAGTACACGGCGCACCGGCAGTGGAATTTTAGTTGTAGCGCGGGGTTACCCACCGAGCGCCTTATCACGTCGGGATCACGGGGATCAGGTCCCTGTCGCCGCTCTGTCTGGGCTGACTTCATTTTTGGTACTTTTCAACGTACAGTTTTAGGTGTATCTCTGTATTTATGGTAATTATCATTTAATGCACCCAAAGCACGCATTTCTGCTCTTGAAACCCAAAAAACAACGGACATGGTAACTTGTCTGGTTATTTCGTTAGACGCGCTGAAGTCGGCAATGCTAAATTGTAACATTTTTTGTACAAGTGTGAATGAAAAAAAATCAAAATAAAATAAAAAGCATAACAAAAACTGTCAAACTTTTGGAACATGAACGACATAACATCGGTGCAGATACTCAGAAAAGATAGTATCTGCGCGTATAATAGGAAGCTGTAATTTTGCAGCTTTATCCATCTGGCACACAATTCGCTATGAAGTAATTCCTCCAAATACAACTTTATATGTCTAATAAAATCGGGAATATTCGCACATTTTTTTCTAAAGTTTATCAAAATTACCCTGATGTTTCTCTATGACAAAGTGCAAACCGATTTTAGTGCCAGAATACATCTACAACAATGTAATACACGAACAGTAGGCAGTTACACTCCATAAATTATTCCTTATTTTTCTTAAAACGCTAGATCTAGGTTTTGTGAGTAGACTAAATAACAGGGATGACTTCTCGTGATTGTAGTATTATAAGAATAATTTCTAGCTTTCCAGTGACACTGAATCAGCACTAGGCTTTTCCAGATTTTATTTTCGTTTCTATAAAACCATTTGCAATAACTGACAATGTTCTTATTTCTTTAAATTCATAAGTGTCTGCGCATATGTCCAAAACAAAAACTAAAAATGAATGTTAGCTGTCGTTATTTTTATTCCATACAAGAAGTTCATCTCTACCCATGTATTAACACACTTTTGTGCTTTTAAAAAATCTCATAATATATCTTTCTTAGTTGCATGCAGACTTGCCACAGACACAGCATGATTCATGAACAAACGCAGAGTAACTTTCTCTTGTTTGATGGTAGAACAAGAGCTAACACTGAGTGTCTTTAGATCAAAAATGCAGTTGTGCATCTTTCTTCTCTTATAACTTGACTATTAAATTACTACTCGCGCAGATTTAAGATTTCTCATGGTAAAAGACATGATATTCGTAGTCAGTTTAACACAGATTTTGGAGAGATCTGTTGTGCCTTTTTAAAAAAAAACAATAATTTATTCATAAGTATGTAACTAAATTAGGAGAAATTGGGTACTCTACAAACACTTATCTAAAACAAAAACTAAGGCACAGAAATTAACCATTCTAACGCAGAAAAAATCTCAAGACATTGAGCTTTTAGAATATGCCCGTAATGGTTTGCTGTGTGGAATGGGGAAGAAGCTATATCGTTTCAAACGTAGACAGAAATCAGAACTTCTTAACCGACAGAGGCAAAATCGCTTCAGGGCTCATTAACCCTGTGACCCCGAGCCGGGGAGCTTCGGTGGGCTGCTGAGTCACACTAACTAAAGATAACAGAATCAGGCGAAAAGTGACGCCGTGAGTAATAATGATGATGATAAAAATAATTACTATCATCCCCATAATAAAAATATAATAATGACCATCATAACAATAACAGAATATTAATAACAACAAAAATAATAGCCCAAATAATAACAATAACAAAAATAACGATGACAATGAAAATAATTATAATGATGATGATAATAATAATGATAATAATGATAATGTTAATAATAATAGTAATAATAATAATAATATGCGGGACGTCCAGAAAGTAAGTACCGTTTTAAAATAATTATAAAAGAAATAATCTTCCCAATCAAAACGAATTATTTTTTAATGCCTCATATATATGACTACAGTGGAACTCGGATTCGACGAGCTCGGATTCAACGAAAGGAGATAGATTCCCTGTTTTTTTCTTCTTTAAAATCAATAAAAATAACCCGGATTCAACGAGCACTTAAAGCAGCGAGCTCGGATTCAATTTGAATGACTCTACGCAGGCCGCGTCAGGAAAAAAAGTCATGTGTACAGTGTTTTGGGACAGCCAAGGAAGTTCTTTTAGTAGAATTTTGAGGAAATGGGATGACAATTAACTCTGACGTGTACTGCAACACACTAAAAATACTGCATAGAGCGATTCAAAACAAAAGACGCAGAATGCTTAGCAATGGCGTTGTTCTGCTTCAAGACAATGCAACTCCTCACAAGTCTGCACAGACCCAAAACCTGATTGCCTTCTTCGGATGGGAACAGTTGAAGCACCCATCGTACAGCCCAGACCTGGCTCCGAGTGACTTTCATCTGTTCCTGCATTTCAAAAAGTTTTTGGCCAGGCAGGACTTCGACTCAGACGCTGATCTCTCAGGAGAGACTGGACATTGGCTGACACGGCAGACGGCAGCTTTCCACGATGAGAGCATTCAGAAGCTCGTCCCACGCTAAGACAAATGCCTCAACAGTTCTGGTGACTACGTGGAGAAGTAGTCATATATATGAGCTATTCAAAAATAAATCATTTTGATTGGGAAAATTATTTCTTTTATAATCATTTTAAAACAGTACTTACTTTCTGGACGTCCCTCGTAATAATAATGATGAGGATGATAATGATGTCAATAATAATAATAATAATAATAGTGATAATAATAATTGCATTTATACAGCACGCATCAATGCGTTTCAGCAGCACCATTCACTTTACAGTTATCATTACCCCAGGAGACCCTAGAACACTAAGAAACATTCTCAAATTTGTGGGAAGAACACAGTGCAAGAAACTCATTAAGTGCTCACATACTAACAACTGGCAGGATATTTTGCTGTTCATACAGCAATATAATTAGGTCAAATAACTATTGAATATAAGAGGTGCTGAATAATAACATACATATAAAAAAACGGAGGAGATCTGGGGACGATAAGATTTTTTATAGGATAAAAAGAAGCAAACCTCACCAGAGCACCCGCCAACAACCCATCAACAATGTCTATTCAAGGACAAAATTTGGCAGCCGTAACCCAAACTCTTACCAATCCCTAACCTAGAATAACAAAGTTGTATCAGCTCAGTACCCAGTTTTTAGAAATTTGGCGCAAAAAATTTTGAGTATCACAACATGTAGTGTTGAATAGCTTGAAAGCAACTCCAAATAATTTTTACATTTTTGATAAAACAGATAGAACATTTGGTTTCTCACCTCATGTTCTTAGAAACTGAAAACGGACAAAAATGTCAGATAGAACTTTGTAATTCTAAGGTAGCATTATAACACAATATGACTGAATTGTGTTCGCATTTATCAATGGACACAAATTCTAAAAAACGAAATTCACAAGGACACAAAACTCTCACCCCATCACACTGGCGTAGAACTTCAAACCGGAAATCTTCAAACCCTGTCACGACTTGCTCACAGGTCACAGGAATGGACAGGAAGTGAGTGAACTGCTGTCGCTGCCTGGCCGAGTCGATGATAACATCCAGCCTCGTTTTGGCAGACACTATACCTTTCTTGTCATGGCCAAGTATCACTGTGCAGTAGAAGTAAAAAATTATAAAATTTCCACTTTCATTGGACCCAGTTGGAAAATTTAGTTTACAAAGGTATTCATATATATATATATATATGTGTGTCACGACGAGGTGGAAAGAAGCGCTTGTCAATTTTTGGGGGTGGGGAGTTATTAGTACCACCTTGAAGTTTGTTCATTTATCGTGCTTTTGATGAAAAAAATACCCCTCCATCTTGAATAGAAGCTGAGATATTTGCGATTGAATGCGGTGGGGTTGCCTGATTTCAGAGGTAAAATTACCGAGAAAATGCCTGCCAAAGTTTGGTGACAGCAAAAGCTTAAGAGCCTTGGAGGAGATTATACATTTATATTTTTTGCGTCTTTTATTAATGTTTTTCAGTAAAATCCACATAAAAATGTGTTTTTTAGTGAACATAAAAGGTGTTGAGCCAAAAAAATAAAAATTTGATAAAAATTGCCCTGAGGCCAGAAAAACGCTGTTAACTTTGATTATACTATTTTGACAAGCGCCTGATTTCACTGTGATGCCTCACATATGAACACATATTTATATATATATTGTCAATCAGGTATTAAAATGTACTAAGCCCAAAATTGTGATAATAACTTATATTAGTTTCTAAAATATGTGGTATTGGTTGCATGTGCTCAAGAAATATTTTGGCAAATAATTCAAACCATAGATGTTGAAAAAAACAAACAAACAAACATGGTATAACATAGGTACAATCGCTAAAAGAATGAAACAGAGTTCAAAAAGAGTTAAGGGTTCACAGTTCACAGCTCACAGTTCACACCATTCAGAGTTCACACAGAGTTCAAACACAAGTCGCAGTTTACACACAGAGTTCAGAGTTCACACACATAGTTCAAAGTTCATGAAAAGTTCATAGTTCACACACACAGTTCACAGTTCACACACAGAGTTCACAGCTCACACAAAGAGTTCACACAGACTGACCAATCTCCTCTCTCTTCTCCCCGGGTTTTGGTACCAGGATCTGGGTGCGGGTCTCAGACTCCAGTCGTTTCTTGGTCTCGCCTTTCTTGCCGATGACGTACTTGTAGTAGGCATTAGGCACAGACATAACTGTGCGGAAGCCTTTGTCTGTCTCCTCTATCTCCAGGTCTGCATCACACGCCTCATCACAGTAAGTCAGGTCTGTGTACGGAGCTATGATGGGGTAAAACAAAAACACAAAGTACAGTTTTGTGAGTTTTAACCCCCCCCCCCCACCAACTTGGTTAATAAACAACTTTGCGGTGAATAAAGAAAAAAACTGAGCTGATCAAGAAGACAGACAACAGGAAGAAATGGGGTACCATGATCATCAATGTCTGCTCCAGAGCTGACACCTGATGATGATGATGATGGAGGAGGAGGAGGAGGAGGAGGAGGAGAACAAGGCCGGAAGTAAGGGGAGGGGTAGGAGGAGGAGGAGGAGGAGGAGGAGGAGGAGAAGTCATTTAAGGGGCGGGATACCCAATTTTAACTTCCGTCTCTGTAAGAAGCAATATATATATATGTATTGTGAGCCTTGAAAACACAAAACGACCAAATCTGAAGAATACCCAGTCTTGGATTCGAGCCAGAGCAATCCTCTCCATATTCCAGTACGATACTAACTGAGCTAACAAAGTGCCCCAAAGAAAAGCAAACTGTAACATAACATTATTTGAGAGCTTCAGAAAATGATGAGTATACAATCAAACCAGCTCTAAGAACTATCAAAGGTTCAAAGCACACACTTCATGATCTCACAGAAATTCAATACAATAAGAGTTTTACAGCACTTGCAACACAATTAGTTCACATAAGTGCTGAAGATTAGAGGTGTTACAAGAGAGTAACAAACACAAAAAAAAGAGAGATATAAGGAAGATAGATGTTTGATACGAAAGGAGGAGCAAACGGCACCAGAGCACCCGCCAACCACCCACACAGTCATTACCTAAATAGTGTTAATACGGGCTTTAAAGCCATACACTTATAAATACTTAAGCCTACAGATATTACAAAAAGAAACAGGCTCTCAGACACTTTTTTTAGCTCTTTATCTCCGGAACCACTGTGCCGTGAATTCACTGTCAGTAGCCCCCCCTCCCGGGGCAGTGCCCACTTACTGTAGTGTCTTTAGGCGATTCCCAAAGGGGGGACATTTCTCGTTCAAGCACAGTAGAATTGTAAATGGACTGATTCATGTCACGCTCATAACTGTGCCTGATCTACAACAGGGAACTGCTTCTTTTTCTTTCCTGATCCTTACTATTGTCCTTTTCCTCTACTTCTTTTGTATGTTTGTCACTCTCTTGTGACCTGCTATTTCCGGGGTGCCTTGATAGTCGAAGCAGACCTTGTGCTGTTGAAGCTAGAGAGGTGAGCAAAGTAAGTCTGATTCTCTGTAAAGACTTCTCTGTTGACACACACCCTCTGGCGCTCATATGACTTTATGTAGTTGCATCGCCGTAAAACCCTCTACTATAAAAAATAAATAAATAAAAACTGTCAGTGGCTCAGTCAAATTCTTTTACAACCGTCACAATGGCATTACATTCATTTTCGGCAATTGCCAAAAATATGTCACTCTTACTGCGAGCACTTTAATTAGATGAAGAACGATCAAAAGAGATCAATTTATTTTGATGTAATGACCAAATTATTAGTGACGTTCGTAGCAAAAGAGGGCTACGACATATTGGGAAAACCCCCTCCGTAGATTCATAAAGATTTAAAGATTTATTTCTCTCACTTACCCCCGTCATCCAACTCCTCATCCTCAGGGTTATAGCCCTGGTTGTCTTTGAGTGGGTTCTTTCTGTAGCATCTGTTGCCTATCCAGATAAGCTGTGGTTTCAAAACTTCCATTTCTGCATGAAATTTTTACACGAGAATCTGCAGACAGATAGACGACTCCTTCACATGCACCTGTCAATATATACAGCACATTTCTTAAAGAGTAGAATGTGATTAAAATTTCTTAACATGCCCACTAATAATAATAATTGCATCTATACTATATAGCGCATATATCCACGCTCTACAGCATATACACTTTACAATCATTAGTACCCCAGCAGACCCAAGAACACTCAGAAACATTCTTGGCTACCTGGAGAGAATACAGTGTAAGCTGCAGATTACACTCGCTCAAACATTAAGAAACTGACAAGACCTTCCGCTATCTACAGCCAGGTACTCATTTTCACTTTGGGTGAAGTGAGGGAAATTCTCATGCACAGTGCCCTTTCTTCCCAAGGACAAAACCTTGGGTGCCTGATGGGATTCGAACCCATGACTTAATGGTTGCGAGTCCTTGAGCCAACTGCTGCATCTCTTAAAATTTTCTACATCAAACTGAAGGGATTATTTCCCCAAATGAATGTCACAGCACAAACATACTCGGTCACAAATTTCACTCTATTATTTCGAGATGCCCACAGGGAAGGCTGAGACTCTGAGCATTGCTCTCCCAGTCCATTTTTTGGTGGGGGAGGGGGGGGAGAGTTGGAAAGTGTTTTACTGCACTTGCAACTGCATAAGGTCACATGAGCGCGTGGGACACATTAAACATTTTTAGTTGGTAGGAAATTTAGAATTTTACCGAAGCCTATGGTAATCGATTTTTGGACCATCCAAGGATCTTTAACATGACCAGCTTGCAAACGGGACCTCTGAGATTTTTCGCCAATATCCGAGAAGGTAAGGTGTAGATCTTACTTAACATAATATCAAGGGTGTGGCTGAAAGACAGCAGAAGTAAAAAGGAGCCAAGGAGTAGCAGTAGAAAAGCTGCAAAAAAATTCAGGAGCCCAGAGGAGGGGACAAAGTAGGAGAGGGGTTGGGGGCAGACAGTAGAGACGAAAGCAGAAGACAGAACATTGTTAGAGAGCATGAAAGGATGTGACAGGAGAAAATTTTAGAGGAGAAAATTTTCCGTCACTATCTGGATTCAAACCCAGGACCTTTAGAATGAGAGGCAAACACTTTAACCTCTAAACCAGCGAGAGCCCTCTAGTTCATCAATGAGCAGCATGAGAAAGGGAGAAAGGAGACAGGTATTATAACAAAAGATGAAATTGAAAGGCATGTTATGCTGTGTCAAAAATACTGAAATCAAAGATTTTTCCGGATTTTTTTAAAGTGGGGAAGGGGAGAGAAGGCTAAATATGTGTGTCAATTTTTTAAAACACTTTCATTCATCATATTTTTTTCATTGAAAAAAGCTGATAAAAGGGGGGGAAAAAAAGATAATTTGAAATCAATTTCAAGGACATTCGAGCATTGGAAATCACCAACTTTGGCAGAACTTCAAGCTGATTTATTTGTACCTCTCGGACATTGATCAAACCAAACCTCCTTTTAAGTTCAATCGTAGCTATCTCGACTTTTATCTCTTCAACACAGATTTTCAAAAAAATTTTCATCAAAAGCAAGACAATTGATCAGGTAGAAAAAACCCATAAAACATAACTCCATATGCCCCCTAAAATTGATGAGTGCCTGATTTCTTTGTCAGTTGTGACACATACAGTCCAAAAGGACTTCCAATGATGAATAAGCAACCACCCCAACTGGCTGAACACAAAGAAAAAGAAGGGATCTAACCCTAATCCAAACCCTAGCCGTAACCTAACCCTCTATGGATTTCCTACAGGTCGTGCGTTACAACGGAATACCCTCTTAATGAAGACCTCATAGTCATAATTATATTCTTTAGACTAGACCTCGATATTGACAGAACACAGGCTGGGGGCTCTTGTGCCTTAGAGGTTGAGGTGTTCACCTCTCATCCAAAGGTCCCCGGTTCGAATCCGGCAGTAGTGACGGAAAAATTTTCTTTTCTAAAATTTGTCTGTTTTCATCTCCTTTCCTGCTCTCTAACAATATTCTGTCGTCTTCTTTGAATCTTTCTTCTATCCACTTTCTACCACCACCCCCTCACCTCCTGTCCCCATCATTTTATGCAAGAAAAATTCTTAAATTATGCAAATTGAGCCCAAAAATGTGAAACAATGTGAAACTATGCAATTCTGTTAATTTTAACAAAGATTAGAATGATAAAGAATAAGGATCAGAAATGATGCCAAAAATGATCAAATTTTGCTAAATTATGCGGGGTGCATAAAACCACGGGGACAGCACCTCCTTCGCCCCCTCTTCTGGACTCCTGACTCTTTCTGCACCCTTTCTACTGCTACTCCTTGGCTCCCTCTTACTGCTGTCCTTCAGCCACACCCCTGATTTTCTGGTAGGAAAGATCTACACCTATCTAGCCTTTTCAGAAATGACGAAAAATTTCGGAGGTCTCGAGTGTAAGTTGCGCACGTTTAAGAACCCTTGAAAACCTAGATTTTAGATCTAGATCAAACCTGTGTAAGATGGCCACCCATTGTCAAGGAGAAAAGTGGCTGTATAAGACAGGTGGCCGTCTTAGGCAGGACTGATCTTGAGATAAACAAATATATAAAAGTAGCCCCATTGTTTTGTCTTTGTTGGTGTTGTTGCTGTTGGTTTGTATTTCGTTTGTAATTTTTATTTTGTCGCTGATTTTGCACAATGGTGACAATATAAAACGAAATGTATCAGACAAGGAAGACCGAGTGCCATGTTAAAACAAACACATGGGTGCCACCACTCGGAGAACGAGGGACGCTTCTGTAACAAGTTCATGTTGACGTCCTTTGTTACTTTGTTATAGACTGGGTAAACAGTAACCACTCATCTCACGATTTGTGTATGAGTTCTGGGCGGGGCTTTTATGGGTTATGAGGGATCACACGCTTACCTCACCAGCAGCTGAAAATTGATAGCTATTGTGGTCAACAGTGGGAGGGGCCTAGGCAACACGATTGGTTGGAGGGACTACACAACAACGACAGGTGATTGAATTATAACGGCTCGCCCACAACGCCAGGGGCCAATATGCACAATTTAGGAACAAGAAGACGTAATGGAGTCAGTGACCCTCTTAGACAGGTATTATTGCTTAGTTAAGTATAGGGGTTGTGTGTTAAATTATGGTGGCCGCGGATGCGTTGGACAGGTGCCCGTTTTACACAGTTAATTTATATAGATCTAGAAAAAACGCAAAGGGGGAAATGGAAAGTGGCCGCTTGTACAGGTGGCCGTCTTATAAGTGGCCGTCAGGGCAGGTTCGACTGTCGGCCTATCCTATATTATCTAAATTTATTTCAAAGTGCTCACAGTCTCGAACACAGAGGCTGTAACTAAATGTAACCTACTGGTTCACGTCGTTCTGACATCTGAAGATCAACACGATCCAACCAGATAGATCTAGAGTCTAGATCTAGATCTAGAATTCTAGATCTAGTTTCGTTTTCGGTTGTTGACAGTTTTAGTTGACACTGTGTTGTGCAAGCGGAAGTAGGATAAGTAAAGAAATAGAGAGTAGTAGTGTCCCTTATTTTTGTCTTCTCCTTCTTCTTCTTCTTCTTCTTCTTCTTCTATATTATTATTACATTACATGTCGTGTTATTATTATTATTATTATTATTATTATAATTATTATTATTATTATTATTATTATTATTATTATTACAATAAATGCATTTTTTTTAAAAATGAGCCTTTTGCAAAAGCGAAATTAACATGTCAGTGATGGCACTGGTTTATTTGTACTGTAAGCCTACTCAGATATTTTTGTTGTTGTTCTTTTTTTTCAGGGGGGGGGGAGCTTCACCTGAAGGCTATCTCGCTTAGTGTGGATCAAATTTTACAAGCATAGTGAGAAGTCTTCAAATTGGTAATCAAATTTGAGGAAAAAAACAGTTTCATTGCCATTGAGACGACAGCCATATTGAATTTTGTTGACATGTCTTATACAGTGAATACCTCACTTGGTTTTTTCTTTTTTAAAAATTATTTTAAAGAGAAATTGGTTGTTATTTTGCGTGCATGTTAACAGACAATAGATCTACAAATACGTCTTTTAGATTTTTTCTAAACAAATTCGAAATTTTTAAAATCATTTTTCCCCCTGAGGCAAAGTATTCAAATTCAAGTTACTGTAGGCCTATGCACACAAAAAAATCCCTAAAGACCCACGCCAGACACCACCCCCAAAAAGCTATTTATATCGAAATTAAGACAAATATTTCTTGTTCTATCTTCTCTTCCTTTCTGTGAAAATTTCTTGAAGATTAAGAAAAATGACGGAGTTATTTTTAAAAGTTTATATATAATAGTAATAGGCCTACAGAAAAACCACGTTTTGAGAAAACGGGCGATAAAAATAATTAATTCAATTTTAATAAGCTACATATATTGACTTTATGAGTCTATGCCTGGTATGGTGAAAAATTAGGCTTTAGGGGGTTCATATGCGATGAAGTTGTTGTATAAGAGGCTGATAAGAAGCCAATTAAATGCCTTCATCTCAAAATCTATAATCTTGAGCCAAATCGGGATTCTCAGAGGGGCCAATAATTCGTGGCGCAACTTATTGTCAGATATTTCCTGAATTGTCGATCATAGACCCGAACTCCAGATTTTGCACAATGACTTTTAACTTTTAACTAATCCATATCTTTGTATACACCTGTTATAAGCCGTAAACCTATTCTAGAAAATTCATAAATAAATTATACTACATAAAAAAAGTTTAGCAGAGGCTGGATACAGATTTGAAAAGGGTATTAATTACATCTGGCAATAATATCGCTTTTAAAAGGAAGACCTTTTCTATTCCACAATATTATGCTTATTAAACACCTGTTATGAGAAACTTTAATGAAAAAAGAGTTCATTATAAAAGATATCACTTGTAATAAGTTTTGCCGCAGAAAAATGTCATTGTTGAACTGTGACGTTAACGCAACCCTTAAACGTATGAAAAATAATAATTTGTATGAGAAGAGGGAAGTCTGCTGTGAATATGGCTGTGAACAATCCCATTTTCCGTGTGGCGGAGATTTATTGTATTTTGTATAAATTTATTAAGAAAAGTTGTTTTAATCTAGCTTCAATTGATGTGGAAAAATATGATTAAGTTACGACAAATTGATACAAACTGCTATGCAGACTATGGGTGACAGTGTTTCACCCATTAAGAGATATTTGAGGATAAAATGCGTCACCAATTTTTGACGCACGATAAACAAATGTCAACCTAGGTACTCAATACTTTTATTATATATATTCAATAATTTTATTATATATATTTCTTTTTTGCAATGCACTTGCCACACATAGTCTGCAATCAAGAACTCCTGATGAAGAAACCATGGAGGTTTAATTAGGTCTTTGCAAGAAACTTACAACAACGATCAAAAGACGTGCGTGCTAGATCTAGTAGTTTCTCTTCTTTTCTTTCTTTCCTATTCTGTTTTTCAAAGTCATTGTTGATAAGCTGATTTTGGTTTTGTTTGTTTGATTTCTTGTGCCTTTTCTTTTCTTTTTAAAAAAATACTATGATCGCTGAGTCTTGTTTGTTTGTTAGATTTGTTTTGTCTTTTTCTTTCTGCTATTTTTAAAGAGGGAATTGTGTGTGTGTTTTTGTGTGTGTGTGTGTGTGG